CCGAGGTGGGGGCGGCGCCGGAGGTCCGTTAAGCCCCCCGCGCCCAGGCCGGACGAGGGTGGGTCGATGGACCAACGCGGGGCGCAGGGCGGCCCCGGCCTTGCCCTCTCCCCCAGGCAGTCTGGGGTCCGACCCTCCTTCCTTCTTCTTGAGGCCCGTCCGGCCCCCAAAGGCCGTGGCTCCCCACCCGCTTAGGCCTCTCCAACCCCGAGTCTGTAGCTGGGGGCTTCCTGTCTCCAGGGTGGTTTGGCTCTCAGATTCGTGCAAATTGATGTAAAAGGACGGAAGGGGAGAGAAGGAAGGGAAGGGAAATTTCCGTTAATAAATGCAAGGGGACCCTGAATTGTGGTGCCTACAGGCAGGAGAGCTGATGGGGGCTGTTTGCCTGATCTTGAAGCATTTCTCCCAAAATGTTTATGGATAGCAAGAGAAAAGGAGCCATGTCCCATGGACGTTACAGGCCATCACCTTAGCCAGGTGCCCGGTTTGCCTGTGACCTCATTTCGCATGTGATGGCTGACCTTGGTGCTTGCCACACCACCCCAATCTGGAGGGAACATCCCAAACCGCACAGACCTGTTCTGCAAGGTAACTGACCGGTACCGGAGATCATGGACCGGGGCGCGAGGTAGGCGCTGCCACAGCTTGCTTAAACAAGAGGAGACAATGATTAGTGGGACAACTGGTGAGTAAAACTCGTACTTCAGATCAGATGGCTGCAATGTTCCTTTCTTTACCCTCGTTTTGAGAGCAAGACATTGATGCCAGGAAATCTGGGGAAGGATGTGAACACTGTGGCTGAGATGAAGGCATTATGGTGGGACTTAATAAAGAAGTCTAAGGAAAAAAGGCAAAGCAATTAACAAACACAGGAATTAAAGTGAGATGATACTGCTTTAGGCCAACTGGTGCTAGACAAAAAGTATCTTCATTCTACGGTCAATATTGTCTTGAATTTGAGTCGTTAACAGTATTTTGATTTAGTTCTTCATCATTGTATTGGGTGTTACAGGTTTTGTTTCTTGTAAGCTTTTTTTGGTCAGTTGTGGGGCTTGAATCAGGACCTGGGTGCTGTCCCTGAACTCTTTCGCTCAAGCCTAGCACTCTACCACTTTGAACCACAACACCGCTTATGGTTTTCCGGTGGTTAAAATTAGAGGTAAGAATCTCATGGACTTTCCTGCCCAGGCTGGCTTCAAACCACTATCCTCAGAACTCAGCCTCCCAAGTAGCTAGAATTACAGACATGAGCCACTAGCGCCCAGTTGTTTCTTGTAAACTTTACAGTAAGTCAGTACCTACAAAGTTTATTTTTATTGGGATTGTGTTGAATCTGTTGGCAAGAACTGACATTTTCTTTTTGGGGGGGGGCGGGGAGGGGTCCGGTCGTGGGCCTGAACTCTGGGCCTGGGCCCTGTCCCTCAGCTCTTCAGCTCAAGGCTAACACTGTACTACTTGAGCCACAGCGCCACTTCTGGCTTTTTTCTTTTTGCTTATGTGGTACCGAGGAATCGAACCCATGGCCTCAGGCAAGCAAGGCAAGCGCTCTACCACTGAGCCACCTTCCCAGCCCCAAGAACTGACATTTTCTGATACTATCTTCCCATCACCCATAAATATGAAGCATTTCTTCATCTGTCTAGTTTTTGTTCATTTCTTTTCCCTAGTTTTGTAGTTTTCTTCATAAAAATTATATTCCTATGTTGGTATTTATATCAAAACATTGCATTTGTGGAAATGACATTGTTTGTGCCCTCCACCCCACACTGATGCTGTGTTCTCAACAGATCATTATCAAGAGCACATGATTTATTCCTAGTGATGTTAAACTTCTGCTTGGATAAGGTGATATGTACTGGGTTCCTTTGCTGTAAGATTCCTATTTTCCCCTTTGTATTAAGTAAATACTTTGTGGGAAGATAGTTCAAGACAAGTACTCTGTTCCTGCACAAACTTTCATGTCCTAGTTTTGCCATTCACTGGCAATACTGCCTAAACCAGTTATTACATGATTCACTGAATAACCTTCTAATTTCATCATCCTTTCCAAGTTTAGTAACAGACATTTTGCTCTAAAGTTCTCCCTTTTCTCTCACTGATTTGTAATTAATATGCACATTCATCAATAGTATGTACAATACATACTCCCGAGTCTTGGGAAATACCTTTTAAGTATCTAAGAGGAAAGGGTCCTGAGGGGTAGTTTGCCTGCCCATATTTCAGCACATGCACGGTGTTGAAGAAAATGTGGGAAATGTTTTCAATCATCCAATTTAGGTATGTGGGAGATTACTGTATTACTTTGCAATCTTTTTTCAAGTCTCAACTTTTAAGTAAGCAGTTTAATTGCAACACTATTAAACTTCACAAACATGTTAAAATTATAATTAGACTACAGATTTATCAGTGTTCAAATATTTTATTACCACTGTCTATAGAGATTAACACTAGTATCTCTGAAACAAGACACAGGAGACTACCACACACAAATATTATACACTAAGAACAGTATCACATTTGACCCATCTCAATTCAGTAAACCAGGCTTGACAAACCAGTCAACTCAAGAAGTCTAATTCCAATTACAGGACACACTACTTTGTGAATGTTACAAATAATATTCAAATATATACAGACAAAGTTCAGAAATTTTCCCTAAGACCACCTGTATGTACACACACACACACACACACACACCGACAGGTTTACAATATAAAAACCTGTACTTTACAGCACTCTTGAGGTTTCAGCAAAGCATATGTTATAGACACATTTGCCATACAATTTTACTAAGGTAAGAATAATCCACTTACATCCAAGAGTCACATTCAAATATATCAAGAATACAATCCAGATACCTGGCTACTGAAGAATGCATACTCTTTTTCTTATAAACTAAGTTTCGTAAGTGCAGTATTTTTAGTGTAGATTTTTAGTGTAGAATCAATGGGATTTAGAAAAGATCTCTGTGGTAATTCACCTCTGCCGTGGTGTGTTCATTTGAAAAGTGAAGTCAATGCCTGCTTGACAGATGCAGGCAGGGTTGTACAACTTGGTCTTCTTACGAATCATAGTTAAATCTTTAAACTTGTGGACTGGTTCTAAACCATCAGGATGATTAGTGTCTGCAGCGAGCTCCATGACCTTTTACTGCATAGCACAAACTGCTGCTCTGAAGTGTTGTTCAGAGACAGGACAAGAGCTTGCTTGCTTTTTTTTTTTTTTTGGTCTTAGCAAGACATTAAGTTTCTTGAACAGGAACTTAGTTAACAAATTCAGAACTCTTAAAGCCTTCTCCTGGATTTCAGAGCACCTATTCTGGGACAAGGTTTAAAGCAAGAAGATGCTGTAGACCATGGAGTATAAAGGCTCAGTGGAAGTAGAAGGTGATTTATTCAAGGAAACAAAATTTAGCAGATTCTAGGAAAGAAATACAGCATTTCATATCATCTAAGAATAAAGAAGTCAGTCTTTCAATGTATTTTGTTAAGATGGTAAATGTTTTAAGAAGCATAAAAATACTATCTGGTAATAACTTAAAATTGCAGCCCTGGAGGAGAATGTTTTCTTCATAGGAAAGAATAAGCAAGGACTATGCTGTCGTGAGGTATGCATGAACCCATACTGGACATCCTGAAAAACTAAACTCCTCAGTGAAGTTCCAAGCTTCCAGAACAGTGCCCATCCTCCACCCAGGAATGCTGTTCTAATGCAGAATTGAAGAAGTATCCTCCTGTAGCTGTCATCTGCTAAACCTAGAGAAGGCAAACTCAGCTTTGACTCAGGCTCAAATCCGACAGCCAGTGGGCTGGAGGACCTATGAGGACCCACAAGGACAGCCGCTGTTCCTGATGCCAGGTAGCTACAGAGGACTGTCTCGCTGCAGATTCTTCAAATGCTGCAAGATGTCACTCCCACTTTTCACTTTAAGGGACTAAGCAACTGGCCAGATCTTTTTCTAGGATACTAACTTTTTACTTAATAGAAATCAAATCCCGACTGAATCAAAGTCTAACCCCCACTAAACTTCATCTTTTTTAAACGAAAAGCAGTGAGTCTTCAATCCTCTCTCTGGGATCTTTCAATGAATGTCAACCATTGTTTTTCCAAGTTTGTTCAAAACACTCTAAAATCTTGTTTAGACAGCCTAATTCTTCCTAGAAATAAAATAAATTTATGTTGTTTTAAATCTATTGGATTTCACTATTCTTTTCATTCCATTTAATAAAGTTTTGACCAAATATTTACTGAAAAGGTCTGCCACCAAGTTTTAGGGTTCTTAGATAAGCAACTGTGTTCCTCTGATTAAAACAAAAAAACAAATCCAAAAATGTATTAATTTAAATCTAAAAGTCCTGTATTGTTGACAAAAAGAAAATGATTTTAAATTAGTCCTTGTGGGGACAACTCTATGGACCATCCTTCATATAAAAGCCATCATCCTCTACTCCAAATCCAGGGGTGGCGACAAACACACATGGAGTTGATCTTTATCCCAGGCTGTCTTCATTAAATGTTATCAGAGATAATCATCAAAGGCAACTTCACCAAATAAAATACTTAACAAGTATCTTTCCATGAATGCATTTTATTTTTCTCAAATGATGAAAGGTGATTGAAGCCCTCTTTAAATGGCATTGATAATGTACTTATTTTGGATAGAGTCCTTAAGATTGAGGATCCTAATACTTACATTATTAAATGACCTTTTAAAATGTGCAGATATCAAAGTTTGTTTTCATAGCTTCCAAACACACCTGAAATTTAGATAATCCCTTAAATTAACTCTAAAATGTAAAAATGTCAAAACAGTGATGACAGCTGTCTCAACAATAAAGAAAACCTGGAATACTATGGAGTTCTTGTCTCTGGCTCACATACCCAGTGTTCATTAGGAAGAGGTATAGAAGTACCTGATGGGATCTGACTTCTCCATGATGAAGTCTAATGAAACCTCCCTGCAAAGGCTCCATCCACAGAAGCATAGAGTTGATGATATAAGCAGTACGGGCTCACTTTTAAAGAATCGCCTAGGAAAAAAATCTCAACATAGTTTTATTTGGTGAGAAGCAAAGGGCTCCTTTATATGTAGCCTTCAGTCAAAGGTGGGAGAAGATTAAAAACGGGTCAGGCATACCAGCTGACAAGGCAATTCTTAGGAGCCATTTCTAAAAAGGAAGGCTAGTTCTTTTTTTTCCAAACCAAGATGGATATTTCACCCAACACAGAGGTATCAACAGCAAAATACAACATCTCTTATACTCCCCTTTACTTAAGCTTTTTGGTGAGAATCTAACTTCAGCCAAGAAACTAAATCAAGAATAAAACCAAGCTTAGTGAAGAAAGGCAAATTAACTAGAACAATCTGTATGGATGGTTGCTGCCTTTCCTGTGTTTCCTAAAGGAAGGAGAAAAAAATGGCAAGTGGGCAAAGAAGATGGAGAGCACTTCCCAAAGCTTCTGACTAGGACCCCAGGTTATGCTAGAATGGAGTTTTAATACATTTTTACCTCTATAAGTTACATTTTTACCTCTAAAGTAGGGTCCAATCTGTTATTATAAACTGAGATGGTTATACACAGAGTGGAACTTGTATTAAAGATTATTCTTCAACTGTCCTTTTAAAAGAGAACTACCAGAACAGATAGTGTTGGTTAAAATGAGCAGTGCCACAAGATAAAAGCATACTTGGAAAATACTGAACCGCAAACATGGAGAGCATAGGCATAAACGAGCAGATCACAAATGTAGCCATTGCCCTTTAACTCAGAGACAGCTGAAACGTTTCTCAAGTTCAGAACCTAGAGTGGCATCATATTCACAAACTTCCCCTTGAGATAGATTATGTTTGCCTAATACATACAGGACAAAGCGGCACAGTTGATATAAATATTCAAATGGCTCAAGCAAACAAGGTTAAACTTAGTGTTAGTAGGCTCTTAGAATACTTAATAAAACAAGACACACAACGCCATATATAATATAAACCAGTGCAATAAGAACTTTAGACAAGGGCAGTGCATCTCTGGTTTAAGAAAACCATATTTACAGTTTAATTATAACAAACTAACACTATTTGAAGTCAAAACCTGAAAAACCAATTCCTATTTTAATTCTATATTGCACATACTTTTAGTGTCTATTCGTAACATACATTTGTTATCCTGTAGGAAGGATTTCCCGTGAATAACTATTCTAATTTTCCTTTCTTGACAAGACAGAACAAGAATGAATTCAGCTTTGTCAGTCCAAAACTGTTTTAAAGAGAACAGTTGTTTTATATGGCAAAGATAATAGAAGTAGCATGTTAAAGACAAAATTCTTGGTTTATCAATCATTTTAGTTTTGAAAAACACTTCTCTACTCAGTGCCTGAAAGCCTGACCCATCACCAAATATTCCCTAAATAGATGATCTGTGCCTGGGCCTACTTGAGTACTGAATACTCAGGGGACACAGGACTAAGTGGCCACCAGTGTCACTCCCAAGGAAAGGACCAGCACCTCCTTCCTTCTCCTAAAGCAAAAGGTCTCACAGGCCACAGAAACCGGATTTGATTGCAGGGACCCTCATTCCACGGCATTAGAGGATCCCATTTCCAAAGCCGGTCAAGGTTAGTGTGTACAAGTAAATGGAAGGGCAAACAGAAAGAGAGGTAAGCTCAGGCTGGAGAAGGTCCTCATGGTGTATGGGAACATCCTTCAAGGACTCTCACAAAGTCCATCTTCCGTTTCTAGTTCGGCCAACTGCCTCCTCAGGAGATTGACTTTTGCTTGTAATTCCTTATTATAGTCAATGATGTTAACCATTTCTTCATATGCTTCATCCAGATACTTAGAGGATCTGTTCCAACGGAGGAAAAGTCCTATGGAATCCATGAGTGAAAAACAGAAGGGAGAAAGATACATTCAATGTACCAACATATTATACATTTTCCCCTTTTCAAAACCCATATTGATTTTTTGTATGTGATTGTGGGGGAAAGAATTTAGGGTCTCACACATGCTCCATAAGAACTCTATTACTGAGCTTTATACCAAGCTTACCCCAAAGACATGATCCTCCTGCCTCAGCATCTCAAGTACCTAGGATTACAGGCATGAACCACCACACCCACCTCACATTTTATTTTATTATACTCTAAAAGATTCAGGGATTTGGAAGGACTGAAAGAAACCAATTAAATACAGGATCCAAGAACTTTATATACATGCTTATTAATTACCACATATAGAAAAGTACTGTTTTGTGATATACTCAGGAAACGAAGCTGATAATTCATAGTGTTATAAACTTCCCAGTTTCCCAACAGCGATCATTTGTTTTTACAATTGCATAACTATGCTTGTAGGACCCCAGGTCTTACATGTCTGAGAAAGTGAGTAGCGGTAAAAGCAGAAGCCACACAGGAGTGTGTGCATGTGCTTCCCCCCCCCCATTGTTTTTAAGGCAGTTTTCTAGTTCTGCAGACAACTGAAGCTTTCAATTAGTATTTTCCTTCTGTTATGGTCTCATGGGATCCATGGGATGCCCCATGGATAAGAAAATGCTCAGGTGCTCAAGTCCCTTATACAAATCACACATCTACACACACCCCTCCTAAATTATACATAATCTCCACATTACTTATCATTCCGAATACAATGTAAATGTTATAAAAATAGTTGCTATGCTATATTGAGAATGACAATGTATTTTTAATTTTTTTGACCCACAGTTGGTTGAATCTATGTATGTGGAACCTACAGATAGTGAATCAATAGTGTAAAGATCAAGCAGCCCATCCTGTTTCTTCTATTACATGCTTATTCTATTCTTTTTCTTCAATATAGAAACCACTTTTGATACCTAGTGATAATGTAAATATAAATAATAGCCTTATACTATATTATACACACACACATACATACACACACACACACCAATCATAGGGTTTAACCTACTATAGAATTTCCTGGCCTTAGACTGAGCAAGTAAAAAATATAACCTATTCTATAATCCTATTCTTCATGAAGCAATAGGAATTTTCCATAAAATAAGATTTCCTTCTTTCACTTAATCTCTAATTCCCAGTGAGGTCTGATAAATTAGTTAAATAAAAAAATAGTTAAATCATACAACAGACCAACCAACTAACATTTCTCCTGGATGGCCTCTACTTTTCAGTGATTAAACATGGCAGTGGGTTTTAGGTAGACTGTCCCAGAGGTTTAAATAGGAGTAAATCTGCTCAGTCATTTAAGAGATTCCTATGACCTATAACAATCAACAGTAACTTAAGAGATTACTTACTATGACCTGTAACAATCAACAGTAACTTAGAAAGTTCCTCACAAAGAACTTCTCTTTGTGAAATCCTCCACGAAGTGGATACATGAAAACTCACACAAGAGAACCTACAGAGTTTGGGGGAAAGGGAGGGGGGAGCTCAACAGACAGGCATAGAAGCAGAAAACGAGGGGGAAAAGCAATCAATAGCCCATGCCAGGAAAAGCAAGACATCATGGCACATTCAGAGGAGAGGCAGAAACAGACTTAGAAGGCAAAACATGTTTCCTACAAAGAATGAATTGCAATTTCCACACATGGATTGCCCTTGACGGTAAAACATAGAATACCAAACATTTATAGTAATTTAATTTACCAAACAGCTACTATTCCTAAATCATAAAGGCATACATACTGTCCTTAAAAAGATTACAAAGAATAGTATTTTACAGCGTTTGTTTAATGAATGCTTAATATATTTTAAATAGATTTGGGCAATTTATTTTATTTATTTATTTTTTGTCGGTCATGGGGCCTGAACTCTGGGCCTGGGCGCTGTCCCTCAGCTCTTCAGCTTAAGGCTAGTGCTCTACTACTTGAGCCATAGCACCACTGCCAGCGTTTTCTGCTTATGTGGTGCTGAGGAATTGAACCCAGGGCCTCATGCATGCAAGGCAAGCACTCTACCACTGAGTCACCTTCCCAGCCCTGGGTAATTTTTTTAAAACAAGCTTTGCTATTTAAGACAGTAAGCTTCAGGAGTCTGGAAACCCTACTTTCAAGCATGGAAAACTCAGCATGATCGCTGTTCCCAGTGAGTGTCTAAAGCTTTATTCTGATGGTACTGTTTCCATTTAAAGAGTCTGACTGGAATGAACGGTCCTCAGATCATATGATGGCATTTAACACAAGAACCTAACTTTATGTCCACTTAAAAAAGGAAACAGGTGTTTCAAATTATTCATGTCCCAACTACTTACGTAACTCTCTTATGCTACATTTCTCTAAAGAGAACAGAAAAGAAAATCAACCAGAAGTGTCTAATCACTCCACGGGTGACTGAAAACAGAGTATGACCAGAGAAAGGACATGGAAGCAGGATCACATGCCCATGGAGAAAACAGTAACAGCCAGCTCACCATTTCCACATGCCCACAATGGCACATGCACCTGTGCAGCAGACAGAGCACACCTGAGAGGGAGGAAGAGGGAGTTACCTTCCCACAGCTGGAGACTTTGTGGGGCAACCGAAGGCCAGATGACAAGGTTGTTGGCTTCAAAGAGAGGATTGGTGAACTTACTCAGCTCACAGGGCCGATTGACCCAGGACCACAGAGACATTGTTTTCTGTTGTAGCTTCAATTTACATCTGCTCAAGAAAGAAAATAAAGCAGTTAATTTATAGTAACCACTGTCAAATGTACCTCTCAGCAGAATAGGTTCTTTATTCTGTTCAACAGAAAACAAGACTTTATGCTATAAAATAAAAATATTTGCCAGAAAATTCAAGCAGCACTGTAACTCTCAACAAGCTAGTAAGGACAAAACTAGAATCTGGGCTTATCAGGTTTGGTTTAATTGGAGATAAAAAGTCTCTCAGATTTGTCTCCCCAAGCTGGCCCCAAACTTCAATTCTCATACCTCAGCCTCCTGAATAGCTAGGATTCTAGGTATGACCCACTGGTGCTTAGCCTTGGCTTTCAAACTAGTCAAGATTCAACAAATCTAGACACTTGTGAAAAAGTTGCTTAAGTTTACTATTCAATTCGATGATGGCGATACCTACCAATGAGGCAAATCTTTCCTCTACCCAGAGGACACCCTGGTGATTGTACCCTAAAGAAAGATGGCTGGTTAAGCATCTTGAAACATCATTCTGATGCAAGAATCTTCTAATCTATACACCTGACAGCCTCTGGGCTGTGAAGTAAGACTGTCACTCAGGACCTGATGACAATTTCCAAGTATAACAATCATGTCTTTCAGTAGGAGCAGGAAGACCTGTCTCTAGGCCACCCTTTTGGTGGTCAACTGGCTGTGGGTCCTGGCACAAGTCACTTAACTTATCTGGTTCTGATTATCTTAATCAATAAAAAGAGAAGGAGGCCAAGTGCTGATGGCTCACATCTATAATCCTAGCTACTCAGGAGGCTGACACCTGAGGTGAGTACCAGCCTTGAGCAAAAAATTATGAGGGACAGCACCCAGGCCCTGAGTTTAAGTCCCAGACCAGAAAAAAACAAACAAACAAACAAACCAAAAACAGGGTGGGGGGAATGGGAGTAGAGTTGGATTATGTTAGACTTCTTCCAAAGGTAAGACATTTCTACATTCAAAATGACTGCTCAATTTACTCAAAGCTTTTAACCAGTAAATGAACCATTTTAAAATTGACCTAACAGATTGATTTTAATAGATTTAATCTAATAGATTAAAATTAGTCTAAAATATCCCTCATTTACATGTGATTACTATGTAATGTAATTACATACTAAGTCTAAACTTACAGTAAGTCTATATGAATGTTATGTAACACTTAACTGTAGCCTCTTTTTTCTGTTGTTGTTGGTCGTGAGGCTTGAACTCTCAACTTGGACACTGTCCCTGAGCTCATCAGCTCAAGGCGAGCACTCTACCACTTGAGCCACAGCACCACTTCCTGTTTTCTGGTGGCTGATTGGAGATAAGAGTCTCACGGACTTTCCTGCCTGGGATGGCTTTGAACCTCAGATCTTAGCCTCCTGAGTAGCTAGGATTACAGGCGTGAGCCACCGGCGCCTGGCTGTAGCATCTACCTTTTATATATAACATTCATATAGCCCTAAGTTCTCATTTTTCTTAGGAAGTGACTAAAACAACTAAAAGTGAAACTGACCCCATGTGAGCAGTGCACCCACCTTTCACTTTCACTGTTGCCCAGAAATGTTCCAAATTGTGATGCATAGGCATGTTCAAACAGCATGATGAGGAAGTGCTCATTAAATTCAAAGGAACATGGGAACTGACGGAGTATCTGCCACACACAGTCCAAGAAGAGAAGAAACACAGGTGCCTCCCACTTCTGCTTACTGTTGCAATAGGCAGACTGTGCACAACGCTGAAGGAATGGGTGACCAGCCTGGGGCAAGAGAAATGGGGTAAGCCCACATTACAGCACCATTTCACACAGTTAGGGTGACTCTAAATCTTCTTAGGTCTGTAAAATTTGGAACCAAGTCAAAGAATATAAATTCTTGAGTACAAAACCAAGGAAAAGCACAAGGATCACATCTGTCCACCTGAAATACTGTCAGTTACACAGAAAGCTATGTAGGCCTCAACACTAAATGGAGACAGATGTGGAACTCTAAAAAAGTTTACAGTCAGCTTAAACACTGAATTTTTAGCTATATTTGGGAAAAGTTATTGTCTAGAAGATCTCTTAATGAATACTGTAGTTGTACAGAGATAAAGCTGTCCTTACCCTCTTCTCTGAAAAAGAACTGTAAGAGTCTATCATCTATTGCTCTTAGTAAAAGTAAGACTCATTAGCCTGCCTGCTTAGACCCCAAGTATTGACCTCACCTGAAATCACATTGCTCTAGACATCTCACAGTCCTGCTGTCTTTCCTGCCTTATACTTATCTGACAATGAAAATTCCAGTGACTGATGGGACCTGGATACCCATTAAAATGACAAATACAAATTAAGTAAAGCACATGCACTTGCTTTTTTACTACACACCATGGATATGTATTGAAACAGACGTCCACCAAACATGGAAAGTAAATTCAGGACCATCTGCCTTAAACAGATAAAAGTTGGCTATGAGGCAGGATGAGACAGGGCCTTCGTACCAGCATCAATGCATAATACATATGCACTGCAACTCGAAGGATTAGAATCCTTGTACATCAGAGACATATCCACTTTCTCTCTCTCTCTCTCTCTCTCTCTATATATATATATGTATCTACTTTCAATCTCAATTATTAAATTCATACAGCATAATTACAAGACCTTTATCCTAGAGGTCTTCAAGCACTGTATTACACCACTGTGCTGTGTTCTATTGAGAAACATTAGTAGACAGCATGGCTCTCTGACCTTAAAGAAATCATTTTTGGGGCATCTAGCTCAGGAATTAGGACATCTGTGGAGGAGCTTAAAGTCTCAAAACTTTGTGACAGCAAGGTCATTTAGCTGGATCTTACAGGACTCAGATTTTAGCTGGCTAGAGAAGAGGGCAGGAGGGAACAAGATAGGCAAAATGCAAAAGGTGCTAAAGTACAAGCCATGCACTCCTTTCCCTACTGTTTTGTTATCTCTACCAGGACTCAGCTTCTGAGCTATCAGCCTGTTTTTTACATTTTTTTTTGTATTTTCCCTGTACATAACAAAATTTAGGTTGAGTATCAAATGTCTAACATGTGTGAACCCACCTTAAGTGCTCTAGATTTCATATTTTGGATATTCGCACATACATAATCAATTATCTTAGGATGGACCATGAGACTAAACACAGAACTCATGTATATGTAACAGATACCTATATACATAGTCTAAAAGTGATGTTATGCAGTATTTTTACTGCACCTGCATTTTAACTGCATTGTGCCACATGAGGTAAGACATTGACACTCAAAGTTGCAGATTTTAGAACATTTTGGATATTGCAGAAAAGGGATGATAACGGCTCACAAGTCTGTTGTTGCTGCTGTTGTTGTCAAAGTGAATGAATGTGGCAACATGAGCAAGAATATAGGCAAAGAAAGACCTAGAAGAGATGTTACAGATTACAAGCACCTACAGACAGAAGGGAAAACAGGTTAGCTGGCCTACAAAAACTTAAACACACAATTTCAAAATTTCACTTATGCTGTCAGCTACCACAAATAAGGATTGCAACATCAATGATTAGCAGCTGCTCTTCTTATCAAATGCTTGGCCTACCTGTAGCCACTCCCTCTCTATCAGGGCTTCAAAGCCTCGGATGGTTCTGCTCCTAGGCTCCAAGATGATCTGGGCTAGTGAGGTCACCTGAAGTGTGGAGTCCGTCCCTTCTGTTCCATGAACCAGTACCGATGCTCCTTCCCTGACAGGTAAACAGAGTACAAATGAGGTATCCTGACAGGGACAAGTACTCTGTTAATACTTAGTATTTCATTCTTGTGCACTATGCTCTGTGTTATAGGGTTTCTAGTCTAAATAAGGAATTGAATAGATGAGAAGTCCTCTTGGGAAGAAAATAAGACTAGCGTAAAATCCCAAATGGCAATGGCAAGAATCCCATTAAATTATAAAAAATTTTAGACATTTCAGCTGAATCTTCTATCCCTACACAAAACTGAAAAGCAGTCCTTATCATAGAAGGCACTAACCTTTTCCTGCTTTAATGCTTAAAGCTGAGCAAAGCCTTTTCTCATCAAACCTATAAATATACATTAAGATTACTTCCTGACCTTGAATTCTACTTGACACCATTAGCTACCTATAGGGACACTTCCATAAACTGTAATAGATCTGGGAAACAAGTCCTAAACACAGTTTGAGATAGGTAGAAATGGGGATAAAACAAAAACAGGTAACTGTCAATCTAGGTACTACTGTCCTACGAGTCTTATAAGGTATCTGAGACACCACTATTCTAAAAAAAAGAAAGAAAGAAAAGAAAGAAAGAAAACTAAAGCTACATTCCTCCTCTCCCACACTATTTTTTATTTTTTTGGTCAGTCATGGTGCTTGAACTCTGGGCATGGGTGCTGTCCCTCAGCTCTTCAGCTCAAGGTTAGCGCTCTACCACTTGAGCCACAGCGCCACTTCTGGTTTTCTGGTGGTTAACTGGAGATAAAAGTCTCATGGACTTTCCTGCCTGGACTGGCTCTGCACCTGAGATCTCAGCTTCCTGAGTAACTAGGATTATAGGGATGAGCCACTGGTACCGGGCAAAGGATATTTTTAAAAATGGTTTTTAGTACTTTTAAAATGGTGTCATAAGACCTGTATATGTACGTGGCTCACATTCATTCAATGAGAATTATCTATTAAATACCAAATACTATATACAGTAGTAACTGAATAGTTTTACCTCTTACATAGAAATTTATAAGATGATATGAATATTAGATATAGATCAGGAACAAATTTAATACTCTGTAAACATATATGTGGATAAAAACCAAGGGTTTATCAGTGCATGCCCAGTTCAGGGAGGCTGAAATGACATTACCTGTCAATACACTGAGCTGCTAGACAGGCAGTTGTCAGAATCTCTTTGATATGAGTTAGCCAGTTGGAAGCCTCCAACTTACTGAGCCATCGGTCCATGTTATGCGTTTGGTCATTACAAGCTTCCATCAGTTTGATTAAACTCTCTTGAAGAATGTGATATCTTTTAAAAATAAGAAAAAATACAAAGGAGGGAAAAAAGATGAAATAGAATGATGAAAGACTACACCAAAAGTTCATCCTCCAATATATCCAACACAAAAAAAAGTAGCTCAAAATATTGTCATATGAGGATTTTGAAGACTTAAACATGAACAGATGAGACAGTGCACAGAGTTAGGCCATCTGATAGGAGAGGGCTGGGAAGGGCCATTTGGTGACTGGTCACATGACATTACCACTTGCATCTCCAATCTACTTCTATCCCCCACACTGCTCTAGCACTCATCCTGAGCCTAAAGCAGTTTCCCCAAACCAGCACAGATTCTTTTTAGCTTTGAATCTCACCAACCCCCAAGGAGCACTGACAACGCTTTCACTTAATGTCAAACAAGAGCCTTTATAGGTCATAATCATCTCAACAGATACAGAAAAAGCATTCAACTTCCATTCATGATAATAACTCCATAAACGGGCTGGGAAGGTGGCTTAGTGGTAGAGCGCTTGCCTTGCATGCATGAGGCCCTGGGTTCAATTCCTCAGCACCACATAAGCAGAAAAAGCTGGAAGTGACGCTGTGGCTCAAGTAGAGCACTAGCCTTGAGCTGAAGAGCTGAGGGACAGCGCCCAGGCCGAGAGTTCAGGCCCCATGACCGACTCCCCCAAAAAAACAAAAAAACAAAACTCTAAACAGCTGGGCACTTTTGGCTCATGCCTATAATCCTAGCTACTCAGGAGGCTGAGATCTGAGAATCGAGGTTCAAAGTCAGCCCAGGCAGGAAAGTCCATAAGACTCTTATCACCAATAAACCACTCAGTAAACTGGAAGTGGCACTGGGGCTCAAGTGATAGAGTGCTCGCCTTGAGCTGAAGAGCTGAAGGACAGCGCCCAGGCCCAGAGTTCAAGCCCCACAATCTAAAACAAAACAAAACAAAAACTCTAAACAAATTAGGTATGAGAAGAATGTTCATCAATACATTAAAGGCCAAAAACAGAAAACTGATGCTCACACCTATAATCCTTGCTACTCAGGAGGCTGAAATCTGAGGACTGTGGTTCCAAGTCAACCTAGGCAGGAAAGTCTGTGAGACTCTTATCCCCAATTAACCTCCAGAAAACTGGAAGTGGTGCTGTGTCTCAAAGTGGTAGAACACTAGCCTTGAACAAAAGAGCTCAGGGACAGCATCCACACCCTGAATTCAAGCCCCACAACCAAAAAAATCCACAAACACATGCGTGCTCACGTACACACACACACACACACACACACACACACACACCACCTAATCTCACTCATCTCTAGACTCTATAAAAAGGCAAACTCATGGAAGCAAAGTAGAATGACAGTAACCAGGTATGGAGGGGAAGACACAGAGGAAGGGAGATGTTGATCAACAGCTTGGGTCAGACAGGAGAAGTTCTGGAGATGTATTGTACAATATGCCAAGTACAGTTGGTCATACTTTATTGTATATGTGACAGCACCTCAGAAGGCAGACCTTAAATGTTCTCATCACAGAAAAATAAACCTGAGGTGATAAACTAGATTGATCTAAACGTTTCACAATGCATAACTATAACAAAATAGCACAAAATACATAGAATTTTTGTCAAACCTGAATCCCGCCAAACAAAACTCATAATTGTCCAGTCAATTATGGGCTCTAAATTAGCAAGTAAATTCCACTTGAGTACTTGTAATTTCTGAGTAGCTCAGGGGTTAGCCACTCCAATTAGTGTGCAGTAGGAGTTGTCTCTGTCTCCACAATCTTTACCTTTCAATGGACTTATGAATCCGCCTCCACTGGGGATAATGAGCTTCTTGTTCAAAGCCGCCTCCTTTGGCTCTAGCTTGCTGTGCTACATGTAGAGATCGGGTGTCAATGACGTAGCCTCGCTTTCCTGCCCGGAGAGTAGCGTTTATCAGCTTCTCATCCTCCTTACACCTTCTCCCACTGGTACCAGTAAGAGGTTGACCACATCTCATAATTACCTAGAAGCACAATAAGCTGAGAATTAGTAACAGTTGCTTTTAAGATCGTTAAAACAGAGAGGAAGTAGCTTTATTAGGAGTGTCTCACAGGATTTGGAGATGTGACTTTACTGATAAGAGTGCTAGCCAATGAGCAAAAGCATCAGGTACCCTGAATTTGAATCTCAGTCTTGAACCAAAAAAAAAAAAGCAAATCAAAAAAGTGTCTCACAAACATTCTTGCATTGGGGGGGGGATAGATTTCATGGAAAAAGAAAGAAACAACTGCATGTATTGACAGTAGTTAATATGTGTAAAAACGATAAACTTTGTACTTTCACATAATTTTTCTTTCTACTACCTCAAAATATATTCACAATTAAATCACCTCTTTAAGACCAAATATTACAATTTAATGACTTGAACACCCATAAGACTTGGCCCTGTAATGAAGTAATTAAGTCATTAATGGCCCATTAGTCAATAAGCCTTGACTTTACAGAAAAGTGAAATATCCCACCCTAATAAACTGTATACTTTTGGATCTATGGGTATGGCTCTCTTTCTACCTCCTTTCTCTCTCTCTGTTTACAATAGCAAATAGAAAATGCAAGCAGAAGCTTTTTAATCTGCTGTCCCTCTGCTCCCTTCTACCTACAAAAAAGGGAAACTGAGTGTCTGACTCCTGGTACACAAAGACAACCACAGATGGCTGGCTGACACCTGAGAGATTTCATCTGAATAGTAAGCCAACTCACCTTTTGAGAGCCTGAACATCACACTTCCCTAATGATCATGCTGCCTTTTGAGCCTTCACCCCTATACTTAGGCATATGATAAAATCTGTATGTTCTTTTTCCTCTTGTCTGTATATTATCTTTTTTTTTGGTAGACAAACATCAAACTTTCAGGGAAAGAATATAACACTTCCCTACAACCACACACACACACATACACACGCACGCACATGGCTGGCAGGTTTTGGCAAAAATTAGACAAATGGTACAACACAAAATAAAAATAAGTTTATGCACCATTCTTGTTTGGAGATCATTTTCAGTGTTTTGAAGGTTTCTTGTCTGTTATTTAGCCTCTAGAGGCCCTCAGACATCCTTTTTCAGTATTCCAGGAACTTCACCTTGGTATTGTCAGATTTGTACTTACAAACCACTGCTAAGTGCAGTTATATCTGACACCCTGAAGCCAACGCTTTCAGCAAATCAAGCAACAGTTAGGGACACTTACCATTCCATTTTTTTTATGATAATAGCTTAGTACTGGGAAACGCCCACCATGTCGAAATGTAGCCACCTTGCGAAGAGCGTCATCATCAATAGACTTGGGCACTATGACAATTGGTGGGTAAGAAGGACAGACAGCAAACTCTTTATTGACATAGCTTAGCCTCCATTCACTGGTCTGAAAAACATAACACATGTCAAAGCTAAATAAGCATCTTATTTCACAATATTATCAGAACAAGTTTAAAGGACCTCAGAAACCAACTTCCACTGATGAAGAAGCCACTGCTTGGTAATCTAATAAAAGGCCTCCCTCACTGCAAGATATCACTGTTCCTAGAAAGTTCTTTCTTCTAGCAAGCGGAAACTTGTGGCCTGTAACTTCCTCTATCAGTTTTTACTATCATTCCAGAGAACACAGCATAAGTTCCCCATTTCGTATGAAATCCCACCAAGGATTTAAAGACAATTCTTCCCTGTTAGTGTTCTCTTCTCCAGGTTAAGTATATTAAGTACATACAAGATGACTGAGGCCAACATAATTTCAAGAAATCTGTTATTTTCTGGGTACCACTAGTTTGTGAATGGTGCTCTTAAATTAAAATCGCACCCACAAAGCCGGGCGCTGGTGGCTCACGCCTGTAATCCTAGCTACTCAGGAGGCTG